TACACATATATCTTCTAGAAGAAACAACTCGAAATTGAAATTGACGGACAGCCGAAAAGATCACGTAAAAACAAAAAAGATAAATCGAAATTAATTTCATATTTTGTATTAAGATAGTAGAGAGCATTTTTATTTTACTCCATACTTCAAAATTACATATTAATATATAACAAGAAAAACGTTTTTTAACCGGGAGTGCCCGACTGGGGTATACCCTAAAACATTCTTGGTTGCGGTACCTTTAATGTGAATCATACTTGATCTGTATATACTAATGTGAAAAATATAGGTTCAATTTGGTGACTAAGAGATTTGCTAAAAAAGGAAGTTTCGATATCAACTTTTGTCGATTGCCTGGAAACGGGACAAGATATCGATAATCGGTAACAAGCTCGCACTGCACGGGCACTAGAAGGACGCAATAAAAATTGCATGTCTCTAGCTTCTATAGGTTCTTATATCGATGGACGGACGGCCAAACGGGGGGAAGGGAAGTATGCCTGCCTGTTACATACGTTTGCACAAAAACATTATACACTTATTCGCATTTTCAATAGATTCAGGGTATAAAAATCAAGGCTCGACTACTGACAACGTTTAACATGCTGCCAAATGACATGCTCTTATGGTACACAATAACTATGAAGCTGACCATTTAAGCCCGTCCTGGCGAAAAAATTGTTAATTTTTATATGTATATATATTTTATTTTTTTTCCACGCGGCCTTTAACAAAAGTGACATAAATAAGTGAATGTCCTTTAAAGCGGTTATGCGACTGGTGTGCAATTAATTAATGATATTAACTTTTTGCTTTATTTCAGTTATTATTATTTTTTTTTTTTTTGTTTTTCTGCGGTCAACCAAGCAAGCGCCAGCAAACAAACATATAGCACAAGATACCACAGCCAATGATAACAGCAATAATAATATAAACAACAACAAAAATAACATTCACTGCGGCAGTGGCAGAAAATGGCGTGAATTGTGCACGAAATTGGTTCGCAAGTCGAGCAAAAGTCTCGTTAATAAACGCTGCACACACACACGCACATACACACACATACGCAAATTGTGACTGTTTCATGTATCCGTATATATATATGTAGATGGGCATACAGGCTTATGCATCTGCGATTCTCGATGGACCTTAAGATACTGTATGTAGGTTTCAGGTATTAACAAGTTGCATATATTTAAATATTTTAATAATTTAGCCACCAAAATGTCTTAATTAACGCTTATTTCGATGTTCATAAATTACAAAAAAAATAAGAAAATTTAAGCTATGGTATACGATCAGTCAGTAAGTGAATCTATTGGACCAAATTAAACTATTAATCGAGATGCAACCAGGACGCATACCCTGTGTAAGGACTTTATTATTAACAGGGTACAAATAGCGAGGACAAATTATTAAATAAATATAGAACTCTTATGCAGCTGTCCAATTCGAATATCGAGTCCAAAGATGCCAATGAGAATGGGTTGTGGAGGCTGTGTGGGAGCGCAGGGTGTTGCGGCTTGTAGTATAAAGTGGTTTTGTTTATTTGTATAATTTATTGCAGCTCGCTATTTTAGTGGTAGGCGTGGCCAATATCATAGACGGTTGACAATCTGACATGCATCCATGAACATACAAACGCACAAACACAAGCACAGACACGCGCATGAAGCCGAGCAAAATGTGTAGCATACTTATATGCGCCGGCTGCGTGCGTGCTTTAATAATGCCTTTTATTCTCATAATATGTTAAACAAAGATAGGCTGCGGGAGATTGTATGAGGACAGAAGAGACTGGTCAGCAGTAACATCAGTTCCATGACATGTGCATATGGCAAATAGGTTTCGCGCTGGTTAGCCACCGACAAGTGTGTGCAGAGGGCGGGGGCGGGGCGGGGCTTGAGGTATGTTACGTGGCCATGTTGCCGTCATGTGCGTTTATGTGTGCTGTGGGTGTGCCTATTTGTTAGGCCGTCATGTAATTTGATATGTCAAAGTTTTTCGACACTTAGTGAAACATATTTCAGCGACGTGCCTTCATCCATATTTAATTGTTTTAATGCCGACTGCGCGCAGCCCAGCCAAACGCCAAGTGTTACCCATTTGCCGAGCAAATCAAAAAGAAAAAACAAATTAATTCACAGAGGGCGATAAAAACATGTGCAAGAGAAAAACAAAGTAAACAATATGGATTCATTTGGCAAGAGGCGACAATAACAATATTTTTGGCAGGCGCGTACTGAGAGGCATCGGGCAACAAAAATACGACAATTTTTTAAAGCATAAATATGCGCATACATTTATTTTACTATCATTCTTTTGCCATGGTTTTAATATTTTTTTTGGTTAAATATATATATACATATGGGAAAGCTGATTGTTGTCTTTAAAAATGCATTTATGAAAATCAAATATATAATTTAATGTTGGGCATTTGATATGTTTTGAATTTCCTAATTTCTTTAATTTCACCATAATTACTGTATTTTTATGCAAAATATATTTTTATTTATGAGTTATTGAAATGCAATTATTTAGGATTTACAATATCTGACATTAAATCAGAGCTTGCGCAAGGATATCTATGAATTTACCTGCACAAAAGAAATTAATGGATAATGAATATATATGAAAAATCTAATTCCATTAGTTTTTAATTATGAACCGAAACTGAAACCGGAGCGAACCTATTTTTTTTTTTGTAATGAGAGGCAAATAAATAACTTGGGCTTCAATCCAAACCATATTGGATAGATTTTGGGTAGAGCTCAAATTGTATAATATATTTATGTCTTATTAAAATGTTAAAAAAAAAGGTATATTGAATTTAAAGCGTAATTTGCAGTCATGATGAAATGCTAACTTTATTAATGCTTATTTCTTTTATATAAATCAGTTTATGCTCTCAGTATTATGGATCGCTCATGCTAAATTTGGCATTTTTAAATGTAAATTTCGTTCGTGTTGGGCGGACTGTCAGCTGCTTGGAGAATAAGGCATAGGCCTCACTGCCAGCCTGGCTCCATTCTGTAACTGTTCTGTTTTAGTAATTGCTAGCTTAGACGGCAGTGCCATTATATCTATAATATTCCATCTCTATACCAAATATGACGATAGCAAATTGCAATTGCAGCCGCAGTAGCCATTTTCTAGTCATACTCTGGAGCAGCCATTACTTTAAACTGTCACTCAAAGTCAGGTTGTGTGAGAGAGAGTGTGTGTGTGTGTATGTCTGTTGGCAGCTGCATAACTATGCGTGCAGGGACAATTACACGCATTATGTGCGCCAGAAGTGTTACACACACACACACACACACACACAGACTGCGGAAGAGAGGGGGCCATGGATACTCTTGCGGAGTAAGAACAAACATTAGTTTTACTAAACATAAATGCTCCTATTTTGTCACATAAAGTGTCAACAGTTGACAGTCTCAACTTTGCACAATTTACGACGTTTGCTGGAAATGGCTTCCACTCTCCTGCTTAGCTGCCCGTAGCATGCAAGAACGTACAGTTGCCAATTCACATTTACATTACAATCATGCACAATGGCCGCACACACACACACACAAACAGAGAGAGATAGAGAGCGAGAGAGAGAGAGAGATAGAGAGCGACTCACACACACCTACTTAACATAGTGCACATTCTACGAGATACAAGCTGTCTGGGCGGTCAACAAACCGCTGCGCTCATCTTGGCCAATGGGCGTTGGGCGATGCTTAAATTAGCCTTATTGTTTGACTAGTCATTTGTTATAAAACGACAGACGCATCACATTAATTGCAAATTAGATACGTGAAGCATTAACTAGTTGTTTATTATTATATTATATGCAGCTACATGCTCTAACTGTAGCTGTCTCTCTGACTGTCTGTCCGTCTGTCTCTCCGTCTGGCTGTCTGTCTGTTTGTGTGTGTGTGTGTACGTGCGTGTAGCCAGTTGCTTGTCACGCGTTGATTGAACGCCCTCAACCAGTGCGGACAGCAGCGTAATTAATACTACTCAAACAAATTAATTAGGCGTGTCCCCCAACTGAGGTAACAGTCCAGCGCCCCAGCGCATGTGGCAAAAGTTATGGCAAACAGGCGACAATATGACATTTATGTAGCAATTGACGTTAAAAGAAATCAAGTTATCTGAGCATCAAATGAGTGCCTAACTTAAATATATCCTGTACAAATCAATTCAAAAGCATTTAAACGTTATTTATCCACTTGCGATTAGATCCTAATGAAAAAAACTATACTACAGCGAGCTTTTTTGTTCCCAAGTTAAATAAATAAATTTTGGACCTTTCTGAGCTTGGACTACAAAAAAACCATTGATTAGATCATTCGTTATGTGTGATGAATATATATTTATGGCGGCTGTTTTAGTCAAAAGTATTTCATATATGGACTCAACACAGGACCATGAGTGTAGGTGGAATATGCGTTCTCTGAAGTTTTCTATAGCTTTATAATGTACACTTTATCATGCTTTATATTTTTTATTTTAAACACTCAACACTCGTACTTTCCGCAAAATATTTAAAAGCTTTTCAACATCTAAGGCACTATCAGTCTGTGTGGTCTGTGTACGTGTGTGCACAGCATATAACGTTCTCAATTAACGTGGGATACTTTCTGAATCAGCCTCACGCAGCCACGAAGACGGCAAATTGCGTATTCGCCATGTTCTCCAGAAAGGCTTGCAGTCAAATTATGGCAAAACGTTGGCCCAACCACAAGAAAAGCAAAAAAAAAAAAAAAAAAATACAAAAAAAAGACGTGTGTATGTGTGTGTGTGTGTGCGTGTATATGATGGCATTAAAGAGATTTGCCGGCATGAGGTGTGCGACGTGATGTGCATTGAAATGTTGCCAGCAGAATGTTAAAGTGAATAAATTGTTAGTGGCAACCTGTCGACCTATGGATACCCTAACCAAGTCGTATGATACAAAGTGATAGGCGGTAGTTCGGAATCGTAGAAAAATAGGCGTGAGTTCACTTGCGATCACATTTCTAAGTAAGTCAAAAAATGTTTTTTAAAATTTTCTATTAAATAGGCTACAGGTTTTGTAACAGTATTCTCCGTTGCAACAATGGAGCGCATCAAATTGCAATCCTCGGATGGGGAGATCTTTGAGACAGATGTGCAGGCAGCCAAGTGCTCGATAACAATTAAAACGATGCTAGAGGATTGTGGCTTGGATGAGGATGATAATGCAGTTGTGCCCCTGTCGAATGTTAGCTCAAATACTCTGCGCAATGTTATCCATTGGGCGGAGCATCACATGGACGATGAGCCGTCGCTTGACGACGACGAGGCGGAGAGCTTATCGAATGGGATGATCAGCAGCTGGGACAAGGAATTCATTAGCAAAGTGGATCAAGCCATGCTCTTTCAGCTAATGCTGGCTGCCAACTATCTGGATATCAAGGGCTTACTGGAGCTCACATGCAGAACGGTGGCAAAGATGATCAAGGGCAAGACATCGGCGGAAATTCGGCAAGTCTTCAATATACGTCAGCATCCATTTGATCATGGGCAGTAGCTGCTCAGCTGCCCAGTTGCTCCGCTGTTTGGTTAGTGTATTTAGTTTTTCCGGCAGCATGAGCAGGTACAGGTGCAGGAGTGGGAGCAGCAGCAGAGCAAGTCGAATTCCTGGTCTTAATTTGGCAAAAAAAGAGTCTTGGGTAATAAAGCGAATTGTGGCCGCATTGTCAAAAGGCGGCAACTAAACGCATATATTCAACGCAATAAAAGCAACCAAATCTGTTGGAAGCTCTGCATCTTATCGCTCGCATAGCATTCGATTTACACACAGGCACAAGCACACACCCTGACACACACACAGCGAAGACACCCACACATATAAAAACAACGCACAATTTTTGTTTTTGATGCTGCAAAGAACCGGAAACAGATATAAATATTTCGTATTTTTCGGTATTACGGACTTCATCTAGCCGGGATTTGTGGCATAAACCAACAAAAGCCGGCAAGCGAGCAGGTGTTGGAGCTTCAGTAAAGGACAGTAACAGCGGGGGTTTGAGCTTGTCGGGGTTGCGCATAAATGTAGACAAATTGCGTAAACGGCACGTCCACACAAACCATCATAAAAATTACTTTAAAATACAGACAGACTGAAAGGAGAGCATACGATTTCCTGCTGCAGACATGACTGTGGTTATAACGCTGGATATAAACCCAGTCAGCCGGGCAGCCAAACAGACAGGCAGGCACAGAATCAAATAGGCGACTTATGTGAGAAGTGAAAAATGTGAAGTAACGAGTGACGAGTAACAACCTTAAAGAGCGTCAACGTGCTGATAAATAAAGTGAAATATTTCTTTGACGCACACTTTGAGCGATTGCTGAAGGAAATACAAAATGAAATTGACAAAACAAAGGGTGAAGGCATATTTCAAATGTTTTGCGTAACGCTGACCTTGAACTCCGGAACTGCGGCAGCGTAAATAATTTGCGTCGAATGATGTCATTAAACAATCAGCGGTTGCCACGCCCACGCCGCTAAAGTCATCTCAAGTGTGACAAATATTGTTGATGCATACTTTCAAGCTATAAAAATCACTCATACGCAGCGTGTTCCCTCCCCGCCTTCACTCCTACACACCGCAAGCGCCAGTTACTTTTTTCTTCTGTACAATGCTATATCCATTAAATGCCAAGTGCAAAGTGCAACAAAAGTGCTGCAGAAATGACAGTATGAGTGTGTGTGTGTGTATGTGTGTGTGTGTGTGTGTGTGTGTGTGTGTGTGTGGGTATGTATGTGTGTATGTGGGTGTGTACTAAAAAGGCAAGTATGTAGCAAAAGCTTTAGACACACGCAAGCACACAAACAGGCAAGGCGCCATAGAGAGATTGAGAGGGAGCAAGAGGGAGCAAGAGAGAGCAAGAGTAGCCAAGAGAGAGGGAGCAACACACACTAGAGACCTGGAGGGTTTTTGGTCTGGGGGCTTAAGGCTCTGCAGCTGCTGCCATTGACAATTCTAAAGAAATTTATGTTCGAGTGAACTTAACAAAAAGATGTGCAACTGCAGAAACACACACACACGCAAACACAAGGCAGACGCCCACTAGGATGAGTACTTGGCTGTTGCTTTTGCTGACCTGATTGCTGTTTAGCTGATAAGCTCCCGCATCCTCGCGTTACCCATGAACCAGCCCCTAACCCATGCTTCAACCCGGCACAGACAGCCTGGCAGCCTGGGGGCAGCGCAGGCGTCACTTATCAAGTGATTTATGTTTGTAATTTACTAGTGCACTGCACTCAGGGAAACACTACGAGAGGCACAGTCAAAGGGAGGAGAGCAAGAGCGTGCATGAGTGAGAGCTAGGCGTGGGGATGGGCTAAAGAAGTCCCAAAAGTCTGCAATGGCAAATTGTCAAACAATGCGATGCTTTTATTAGCCAAGTCAAAGCAAAGTGAACTGCCAGTGACCAGCGTGCCTCCCAATCCCAATCCCAATCCCCGGTTCCTGTCCCTAGACAACGCACATTACTATTACTGTCAAGTGCCTCGACGATGCGAAGCGACGCGACGCGACGTTCGTTCGTTCACTGCAGCAGCCAGAGCCAACCCGCGAAATGTTATTAACTGGCTCTGGGATTCGGCTAGGGCTTGCAACTTAATTAGCAGCCAACACCAAACACAATGATATCTTCAGTTAAGTTGTAATCGCCGCACTGTACGGCAGGCAGGCGGCAGCCAGCAGGTTACCAAAAGTTGACCGTCATTAGAGCGCAAGAAAGCTCAACAACTTTATTTTTATTTGTAATTTCAAGTGCTTGAAAATAATTTAAGAAAGTAGGCACATACTCTCAAATAAAATTATCAGAGACCCCATCGAGCTGGGACATTTTTCTATAGCTAAAGAAACCCTGTCAAATTAATTTACAAATGTAATGCACTTGATTCGACAAGCATAATACATTCAACTAATTAATTTCTACTATTATTAATTTTATAACTAATTTAATGCATACATTGAGTGCCTAAATTCATCTCAATGTTATCAATTAATTAAGTGTAACTAAGATGAGAATTGTGGTTGCTTCCACAAATCTATCCGATCTGCTTTGGTTTTGCCGGATTTTGCCGGGCTTTAGATTCAAGTTGATTTAATCTTTATTCTCGTAACTCATACTCAACGTGTTACTCAACTTGATACTCATTAGATGTCACTCGCCACTCGCTGGTTGCTACTCTTTACTTGTAACCTGGTGCTCGCTATTCTCTACTCTTTACTCGCTACACGCTCGTAACTCAATACTCGGTATTGAGTAGTCAATACATTACTTGCTGCAAGTAAATTGTTAATTATTCATGTGCATTAGCTAATTTTTACTAGACTTTCTCTTCTGGATTTACTCGTTATTCGTCACTCGCTAGGCCTTACTCGCTAAACGTTTTTCGCGATTATTTACTTGATATTCGACGCTGTTCGCTATTTGTTACTCGCTTCTCATTCCTCTTGTAACTTAGTGATATTTAGTACTTTTTCATAGTTTGCTGTTCATAAGCTGCTTTTTACTAGACCTTCACTTCTGGCTAGATACTCGTTACACGTCACTCGTTACTCTGTTACTAGCAATGTGGCTTTGTTGAGCTATCTGAGCTTTGTCCCATATCCAGTTTCTTTTTTGCTTTTGTGTACTTCTGTCTAGTTGTAGCTGCGCGCAATTTGTTCAAATCACAAGTAGCAGCATCTTCGCATTACCACTCCCTACTCACCGCTCGCCTTGCAATCAAAACCAGTTTGCAAATTGTGGTGGGCGGGCGCTCTGAATAGGCGTGAGCAGCTGTTTGCGGGTAACGGCACTTTTAATTAGCGCACTTCGAAGCTCACTTTATCAGGTGCCGAGCACAGCACAGCGGGCAGCGTCAACGTCTGCCTGTCCGCTTCCTTTTACCTCATTTCCGTTTCATCCAATTACGGCCATTCTGTCATTATTTGCATTCTGCTGGTGCAGTTATACAAACTTGCAACATTCCACCAACATTCAGGTAAAACACACACACACATACACGCATACATGCCCGAATATGTGTTTGCCAGCCAGCAGACCACAGACTCTGGAACCTCTCAAAGTTTGCCAACACGATGGTGTTGATGATGAGTTTTGTTTGCTTGGAATTTTACTGTTTATATGAATTAATTAGATTTAAGTGATGGCTAAGCGATTTCAAGTTGAACTAAAAATTGTCCATAATTATTTTCCTCACTCTCTCACATGCCTAGAAAGGAATTTTTTTTTCAGCATGCTGAAAGTTACTTAAATGTTAGCATTGTCTGCCGATTCTCAATGAAAATCGCTGACTAGAGCTCATATTAGTATATCAGGACTTCATTACTTCCAAGTTGCCCTGTTCAGTCCAATCTAGCGAAAAGAAATCTCATAATTAACCTAGGTTAAATGAGAATTTAAAAAGTTGCAAAAGAATTGCGAAAAAAATCACCCATACGCAATTATCTTGCAGTTGCCTGCGAGGCATTCCATTCACCGTATCCGTTTTATTTTCCTGGCAATCTATGGTGTGTAACGATTTGAAGCTCATTCACAGGCTCTAAAACAAATCATCGCCTGCCAAGTGGCAATACTTTACGGCTTAACTCTTAACTCAAGCATGGTAAGTAAATTGTAGAATTTTAAGTTGGCAAATGTCGGCACTTTCGACGCCTCTAGCGCTCACATGCATTCTTCTGCTGATGCTACCACATAATCTTCGACAGCGGCAGCAGCATGGCACTTCTGGCTAATGGCCATAATGTGCACTCATGGCATAATTTTCTGTTGTCTTGCACGCGTCGCTGGAGCTTTTGGTTTCGGAATTTGGAACTTGGCATCTCTAGCGCATAATGTCCTTCATCGGCAGCAGCCATCAGCAGTGGCTGCAAAAATCACATAAATACGCACGCAAACACTCAAGTACACATCCCTACACACACACATACACAAACACCCACACACACACAATTGGACTGGGACACTAAGTCAGTCCAGAAATTGGTGTCGTGCCGTCATTCGCCCAACGTTTGCCGAACGTCAGCTGAGCTCAGCTTTTAGCCTTAAATGGTCCCAAGCCAAAATCCATACGCAGCAAAACATGTTTAAGTTCCGGTTACCCATGCCATTGCAAAAGAAGTAAAAGTGTTGATTTCTAGAGCGCTCGACTACAAAACACCCTGGAATTTACTTATGTGGATACAAAATGTCGCAAATTATCAGTTGATTTCAAAATTCAATAACTGAAGTATTACTTAATATTATTGAGATTTGCATAGAAGGGCGATTTAATTCTGAGCGAGAGAGAGAGATAACAACGTAAAAACATGTTTAAAATATATATATATATATATATATATATATTCATATATATAAGCAGCGTATTAATTATGACATCATTATAAATAGAAAACAAGTAAGAGGTTCTAGTCGGGAGCTCCCGACTAGGGGATACCCTGAACCCTCTTCTTCCAACATCAAATACATATATATGTTATATTTTAGAAGCTATATGTCAAGTTTGGTGACTCTAGCTCTTATTATTTACCAAAATTGCCCAAAAAACAGGATATCGATATCGATTATTATCGATTGCTTGCAAACGGAGTAAGTTATCGATTATCGGAAACAAACTCGATCTGCGCGGGCACTAGGAGCACCCACATCTCTTCAAATCTCTAGTCCCTATAGGTTCTGAGATCCTTGCGTTCCTACATACGGACGGACGGACGGACAGACAGACGGACACGGCTAGATCGACTCGGC